TTCCTAACTCAGTTAGCTTGGTACACTATTTCAAAGTAAACAATATGTTATTTAAGAATATATCCACAGACAATAAAACTATACAGAAAAGTAAAGGATTAACACATAAGTCAGGATAATGGCACCTCTGGGGACAGGGATGGGGATATGAGAGAGGGGCACACTTAGTATTCTAAAATATTAGACATTTCTATTTTTTAACTTGAGTAACAGGTAATATGTATTCTTTTTTGTGTGTGTATGAGGAAGATCGGCCCTGAGCTACCATCTGCCAATCCTCCTCTTTTTGCTGAGGAAGACTGGCCCTGGGCTAACATCCGTGCCCATCTTCCTCCATTTTATATGGGACGCCGCCACAGCATGGCTTGCCAAGTGGTGCGTTGGTGCGTGCCTGGGATCCGAACCCGTGAACCCTGGGCCACTGCAGCTGAGCGCACGCACTTAACCGCTTGTGCCACCGGGCCAGCCCTGTATTCTTTTTATTATTCTTAAACTGAAACATATTTTATACACTCTTCATTTTGGATGAAACATTGCACAAAAAATTTAGATAAATTACAAAATGAAGATACAGTAAATTAAAAAAAGAAAGTACATGCTGAATATTAACAGTGAATTTCCTACTCTGTATAAGGCAAAAAATGTGAGTCCAACTTTTTTACTGTTAAAAAAAATTCTTTCCCACTAATCGGATATACCAACAGTTGAATCTCCATGCTTCTTGCTCAGCTTTATAACCACAGCCTACAGGCAGCACCACCTAGCTATAAAATAGCTGTTAATGAGAATAATGGGATAGGTAAAGACTGATGAGGTCTCCACTCATTAGAAACTCAGCAACATCATAAGTAGCATTTGAACTAGCATTGACCCAAGCAGTGACTATTTTATTTATATATTATCCAAAGGGATTTATAACTTCTTTCATTCCTTTGAAATCTAACGGTATTTTTAATAGTAACATTAATCTGAGATTACTTTATATTATGAACTCCCCACTCCCACCCTACCAGTGGGAAATAAATCAAATTTTCTAAACTATGAAATACTTGAGGACTAGAATTCTATACAAGGCCAATTCCTCTATCTATACTCTCTTCCCCACCAATTAGAATTCTGGACCCACTCTTCTCTCTCTTATATCTTAGTTGGATTTTGTTTTGTTTTACTATTTCAATGGTTCCTTCTCTTTAACCATAAAAAAGCAAAAATATTCTTTTATTGAAGAAAAAATTCAATTCTCCTTTCTCTTAACTAAGCTCCAGATCTCTGCTTCTTATATTTGTATACACTTCTCAAAAAGATAGTCTAACTCCTTGACTTACTATCTACACATATCTTGTAATCTGGATCCCACTACCTCACTGAAACAATTCTCTCAAAATGTCAAATAGGGGCCAACTTCTATTTCAGTTTTCATCCTCCTTTGCCTTTCTGCAGACTCTTATACACTGACCATCACCTCATCTTAAAAATTATTTCTTCTATCTTTTTTGTTCTCTTTCTACCACTCTACTTTTAAGCATCTCCTCTGACTCTTCTTCCATCTCCAGTGACTCAAATGTAGCCAACTTACTAAGGTTCTGTCCCAGCATCTCCTTTTTTTTTTTTTAAATCTATACTACCTTCCCAGGCAAGCCCACTCATTCTTAAGGTTTCAAATAGCAACACTATGCTAATGATTACCAAATATTTGTCTTCTACTCTGACCCATCTCCTGAACTACCAACTTAACATTACTCCAGGAGTATTCAGCCAATACTCCAGCTTCACGTGTCAAAATGGAACAAACTCTCAACATCTCCCCCTCTTCCCCCACCCTGTTCTTCTCTAAACCTCAGTGTCTTCACATTGAAAAGAGATTGTTCATACATCACAAAGCCCCTTGAAAATTAACTATGCACAAAGTACTTAGCACAGGGTCTAGCAGAGAGTGAGTACTCCATTAGTGATAGCTATTGTTATATTGTAACAATATAATAGGATTCACACCTACTATTTGCCCTCAACTTTGATGGACATCTTTTTACATTACAATCAGAATTGTTTGTATTACCTCTGCACAGAAAGCTTTCATGACTCCTCGTTTGTCTAAAAGGAAACTTTAACATACTAAACAATGGTTTTTAATACTCTTTGAAATATAACTCTCAACCCACCTGTTAAGAATTGAATTGTGTCCCCCACAAAAATGTTGAAGTCCTAACCCTCAGTACTTGTGAATCTAAGCTTATTTGGAAATAGGGTCTTTGCAGATGACCCAGTTAAGGTGAGATCATTAGGATGAGCCCTAATCCAATATGACTGCGTCCTTATAAAAAGGGGAAATTTAGTGGGGCCGGCCTGGTGGCGTAATGGTTAAGTTCACCAGCTCTGCTTCGGCAGCCCAGGGTTCACAGGTTCGGACCTACGCACCACTTATCAAGCCATGCTGTGGCTGGCGTCCCACATATAAAGTAGAGGAAGATGGGCACAGTTGCTAGCCCAGGGCCAATCTTCCTCAGCAACAAGAGGAGGATTGGCAACAGATGTTAGCTCAGAGCTAATCTTCCTCACCAAAAAAAAGGGGGGAGGGGGATTTGGACACCGAGAGAGACATACAGAGGGAAGATGATGTGAAGACACAGAGAGAACACCATCTACAAGCCAAGTAATGCCTGAAGCTACCAAAAGCTAGGAGAGAGGCTTAGAAAAGATTCTCCCTCACAGCCCTCAGAAGGAACCAAAACTCTGCCAACACCCTCCTCTCAAACTTCTAGCCTCCAGAACCGTGAGACAATAAATAACTACTGTTTAAGCCACCCAGTTTATGGTACTTTGTTACAGCAGCCCCAAGAAACTAATACAGCACCTTTACAGCCTTACTTCCTACATTACTTCACATAGCTGCTTGATTATTTGCTTTGTGCTAATTCCCAAACATGAAAGCTTCCATGACTTATGCTCACGTTCATTTTGTAGCCTGAAATTACCTTCCATATCTGTCCAAATCCTTTTCATCCACTCAGGGCTCAGTTCCAGGGAGTTTTCCATAATCCCCCAATCTGAATCAATTTTTCCATCCCAGGTACTTCTAGAACAAGTTGTTTGCCTAATATTATCACTGTTCATTATCCTGTATTATAATTATCTGTTTATATATCCAACTTCTTGATGAGATAGTAAGATGTTTGAGAGCAAGAGTCCACATCTTAGTCATTTTTTATATCCTCCTCATCAACATGCACTTCATATAAACTGAAGTGGCATTTAAGTATTTGTAGCTTGGTTCAAAGAATTATAAAGCTCAACAAATTTTAATATTAACAGGTATTCATAGATTCAACATTTGCTAATCTATAATGGCAAGTAACTTCATGAGATCTTTCTCTGCCAAATAACAGGCCACTGCATACAGATATGCAGACAATTAGTGCTTGGTATTTGTGTAGAAGAGCTAGCTACTTTTTCTGGGGAAGAAGGGTGGAAAACCAAGGAATCAGGAGTCTTTGTTTTTTACAATAATATAGTAAAAACTTACATATCCACTATGTTATTTTATTTAAGACTACTATAATCTTGCTCAAGTCACCAAAATCTGCAATAATTAAAATGCATGAAATCCAGATTCAGCAGGTCTTGGCACAACCTACCTAGTTCCCTATAAGCTAAGGTAGTCAGACTTGGCAAATAAAAACATGGGATACCCAGCTAAATCTGAATTTCAGATAAACAAGGAATAATAAGAATATCCCATGCAATATTTGGCACATACTTCAAGTAAAAAGTTATTTGTTGTTTATCTGAAATTCAAATTTAACTGGACAGCCTGTATTTTATCTGGCAATCCTACTATAAGCACTAACAGTAATCTCAAAAACTTCTATTCAAGAAGAGAGATATTTAGTTTAAAGAGGCAGGACAAGTGCAACACTGCAGTGTTCACCCAAAAAGTGCTTTTATAATGTGCTCAAGTCATTGCTCTCCAGGTATTATAAGTTTCCAAAGACAAATACCATAAAATGGCTGAAGGCAATGGTACTGTAATCCTTTATCACTGTACGTTAGAAATACATTGAAAGACATGAAATTCAGGAGTATATTAAAAATACATGAATTTGTTGCACATTTTTTCTTTTGTGGGAGACAAAGCCCACTTTCAAAGCTTCATCGGGCTCTGGGGGACTAATCTCCCCCAACTATTTACCACCCCAGAAGTCATTCCAAATAAATATGTCACTAAAATAAAAACAGTGTGCTTGCTATGCAAACACAGTTTTAAGTCAAGTCCCCTAACCAAGATGTTCACAATACAGAAAAGAAAACATGAACCCATCAGAAATGGATTGAATAACTACTGTATATCCATACAATGACAGACTGTTTTCAGCATCAATTAAAAGGTTAAGGCAGACATTTTTGTATTGTCATGGAAAATTATCCACGATACAAATAAGTGGAGGAAAAAATGGGTAACAGAACAATACTAATGTACGAGTCCATTTACATAAATATTTATTTTACATATGCATTAAAAAGTTTGGAAAAATATATCTCAAACTATTAATAATCTCGTAAGAGACAGGGGAGCAGATAAAAGAGGGATTTCCATCTTTTCAGTATGTCTGAGTTTATTGGTGTTTATTTTTTTTAAATTTTTTATTTATTTATTTTTTCCCCAAAGCCACAGTATATAGTTGTATGTCATAGCTGCACATCCTTCTAGTTGCTGTATGTGGGACGCAGCCTCAGCATGGCCGGAGAAGCGGTGCGTTAGTGCGTGCCCGGGATCCGAACCTGGGCCGCCAGCAGCGGAGCGCGCGCACTTAACCACTAAGCCACAGGGCTGGCCCCATATTGGTTTTTAAAATGATCCTGTATAACTAAGAAAAAAAATCAAAATACTTCTATTTTTTTCATTTAAAAATAACAAATGGAACAACAACAAAAAACCTTAAAGCCAACAGGAGTAATTTGAAAACTTTAAAAAAAAAATACCATTTGCATAATATAAATCTATACCCCTATACCAGTCAAACTCTCACCACAACCACCACCTACTCCCTTACCCTCCTACCCAAACGGGTCTAGGCAACCACCAATCTGCTCTCTAACCCTATAAACTTGCCTTTTCTAAAATTTTATATGGAATCGAAAATTTGTACTTTTTATGTCTTATTTCTTTAAATTAGCATAATATTGAGATTCATACATGTTGTTGCATATATAGGTAGTTCACTTTTTATTGCTGAGAATTCCACTGTATGGATATATCAAATGTTTATCTATTCACCTGTCTTCATATGACTGTAATGCTCCTATTAATGTCCCTGCTCTTCCCTCCCTTCCTTTCCATTCTATTCCATATTTACCTATGAGTCAAATTACCAGATCATATGGTAAACTATATATTTAATTTTAAAAGGACTGTCAAATTATTTTCCAAAGTAGTTATATTATTTTACATTCCCACTAGCAGTGTGTGAGAGTTTCAGTTGCTCTACATCCTTTCCAACATGTGGTATCACACTAATTTTCACCATTCTGTTTAAGTATTTAGTAGTATCTCCTTGTGGTTTTAATTTGCGTTTCCCTGGACGGCTGATAATATTGGGCATTTTTATATGTGTTTGTGGCCATTCATATAATTATCTGTTCAAATATTTTTCCCATTTTAATGGATTATCTCCAACTAATTCTTTTATATATTCTGAATATAAGTCCTTTGTCAATATATGTATTGTAAATGTTTTTTTCTAATCTTTGGTGTGCCTTTTCATTTTCTTAATGGAATTTTTTAAACAGTAGAAGTTTTAAATTTAAATGAAGTTCAATTCATCTTTTTTTTCTTTTAAAGTTCATGCTTTTTGTGTTTAATCTAAGAAATCATTGCCTATTTCAAGGTTGAGAAAATTTTCTCCTGTGTTTTCTTCCAGAAGTTTTTATGGTTTAGTTTTAACATTTAATTCTGTAATCAAGTTATTCATTGTGTACAATGTGAAAAGGTACTGTAGTTCATTTACTTGCATATGGGTATACAATTGTTCCACCATCATTTGTTAAAAAGACTCTTCTCCACTGAATTACGTTAGCACCATTACTGAAAATCAGCCAGCCTTATGTGGATCTATATTATGTTCCACTGATCTACATGTCTTTTGGTTTACCAATACCACACTGTCTCAATTACTGGAGCTTCAGAGTAAGTCTATAAATCAGGTGTATATGCCCTCCAACTTTGTTCTTAACCATAACTCTTCCAATTCATATACATGGTATATCTTTCCATTTATTCAGGTCTTTAATTTCTCTCAATAATATTTTGTAGTTTTCTGCGTACATGTCTTTCACTTATTTCATTAAACTTATCTCTATGCTCTTTTCACGCTCTGTTAAACAGTATTGCTTTTAAAATTTCATTTTCCAATTGTATTTTGCTAGTATACATATATACAATTGATTTGTACTATTCACCTGTTCTAGATTTATTAGTTCTAACAGCTGGCTAGATTTCTTGTGCATGACTGTATCATTTAAGAAATACAGTTTCATTTCTTCTTTTCCAATCCATGGGTCTTATTTTTCTTGCCCTGTAGCAATGTTGCCAGTGCAACGCTGAATAGAAGTGGTTAGAGCAGACATCTTTACCTTGCTATCAACCTTACAAAGGAAACATTCAGTGTTTCACCATTAAGTATGATGTTGGCTGTGGGTTTTTCACAGATGAACACATCAGGTTGAGGAAGTTGCTCTTTGTTACTAATTTAGGTAATCTGTATAATAAACAGATGTTGAATTTTGGCAAATGGGTATTCTGTGGCTACTGATACGATCACATGATTTTTTCCTTTTTGTTAATATGATGAATTACATTGATTGATTAAACCTACCTTCCTGGGATAAATCCCATTTGAAACATATGAGCCTTTTTATATGCTGCTGGATTTGATTGCTAGTATTTTATTAACAATGTTTGTTTCTATGTTCATGAAGGAAACTGGTTCGTAGTTTTCTTTTCCTATAATATCTCTGTCTGGTCTTGGTAACAGGGTAATATAAAAAAATGAGTTATGAAATGCTCCCTTGTCCTCTATTTTCTGAAGGACTTGTGTAAGATCGTATTATTTCTTCCCTAAATGCTTGACAGATCATCAGTAAAGCCATTTAGCCCTGGAGTTTTCTTTTGTGTGTGTGTGTGAGGAAGGTTAGCCCCGAGCTAACATCCATTGCCCATCCTCCTCTTTTTGCTGAGGAAGATTGGCCCTGGGCTAACATCCGTACCCATCTTCCTCTACTTTATATGGGATGCCGCCTCAGCGTGGCTTGACAAGTGGTGCGTCACTCTGCTCCCGGGATCCGAACCTGCAAGCCCCAGGCCGCCGAAGCGGAGCACGCGAACTTAACTGCTACGCCACCAGGCCGGCCCCTGCAGTTTTCTTTGCAGAAAATATTTTGACGAGAAACTCAATTTATTTAAAAGACAGAGGGCTATTCACACTTTCTATTTCTTTTGGAATGACTTTCAAGGAATTTGTCCATTTCATCTAAGTTGTCAAGCTTACTGGCATTAAGTTGTTCATAATATTTAATATGTATAGTATATTATACATGTATAATATATATAATATATACATTTCATTCCTGATCTTTCACTCCTGATATTAGTAATTTTTGTCTTTTGGTTTTTTTCCCTTGTGCAGTCTACTTAGACATTTATCCTTTTTACTAATCTTTTCAAAGGACCAGCTTCTGGTTTAATTTCTCTATTGTCCACTTTCTATTTCATTGACTTGTTTTTACTTTATTTCCTCCTTTCTACTCACTTTATGTTTAATTTGATCTTCATATTCTAGCTTGTTGAGGTGAAAGCTTAAATGATTTATTTTAGCCTTTTCTCCTTTTCTAATACAGTCATGCGTCACATAATGTTTCAATCAACAACGGACTGCATAGACAACAGTGGTCCCATAAGATCAGTACCATTGAGCCTAGGCATGTAGTAGGCTATACCATTTAGGTTTGTGTTAGTACACTCGATGGTCACACAACAACAATACCACTTAACAATCCATTTCTCAGAATGCATCTCTGTCATTAGGCAATGCAGGACTGTTATTAGTTTTCAAGCTATAAATTTCCCTCTAAGCACTGCTTTAGCTGCATCTCTCAAATTTTGATACATTGTGTTTTCATTTTCATTCAGTTTGAATATTTTCTAATTTCTCTTGTGATTTATTCTTTAACCCATGGTTTATATAAAAGTGAGCTGTTTAGGGGCGGCCCTGTGGCGCAGCGGTTAAGTGCACGTGCTCTGCTGCTGGCGACCTGGGTTCGGATCCTGGGCGCGCACCGACACACCGCGTGTCAGGCCATGTTGTGGCGGTGTCCCACATAAAGTGGAGGAAGATGGGCACAGATGTTAGCTCAGGGCCAGTCTTCCTCAGCCAAAAAAAAAAAAAGAGGATGATTGGCATGGATTTTAGCTCAGGGCTGATCTTCCTCACACACACACAAAAAAAGTGAGCTGTTTAATATCCAAATATTTGTAGATTTTGCAAGTATCTTTTTGTTTTTAATTTCTAATATAATTGTGCTTTGGTCAGACAAGTTTCTCTGTAAGATTTCAATCCTTTTAAAATTATTGAGACGTATAGCCCAGCATATGATCTATCTTGGATCACGAGCCACGTGCACATGAAATGAATGTGTATTCTGGTACTGTTAGGTAATGTGTTCCATAAATGTCCATTAAGTGAAGCTGGCTGATAATGTTGTTCAAGTCTTCCATATTCTCATTGATTTTCTGTCTAATTTTCTATTAATTACTGAAAGAGAAATGCTGCAATCTCCAACTAATACTGTGTATTTATCTATTTCCTCTTTCAGTTCTGTAAGTTTGTACTTTATGTATCTTGAAGCTCTAATATTGAGTGTACAGATTTAGGGTTGTAAAGTCTTCTTGACGAAATAGTCCTTTTATCATCTAGGAAATGTCTATCTTTATCCCTGGTAATATTCTTGTCCTGAAACCACTTCAGCGTTTTTATGATTAATGTTTGCATGGTATATCTACTTCTATACTTTTACTTTTAAACTGTGTTTTTATATTTAAAATGAATTTCTTGCATGAAACATAAACAGGCTTGGCTTTTTTTAACCCAATTTAACAATATCTGCATTTTAATTGGATTTTTTTGAATATTTACATTTAATATTATCAATAAAACAGGGTTTAAATCTACTATCCTGCTCTTTCTTCATTACTTGCTTCATTTATTCCTTGTTCCTTTTACTCTTTCTTCTTTTGAATTGACTACTTTTTAGTATCCATTTTAATTCAAATACTGACTTATTATCTATATGTCTTTGCTTTATTTTTTAGTGGTTCTCTAGATTTTATGATATGCTTCTTATCACAGTTTACCTACAATGTTACTTTATGTATAAAGTAAAAAGCTTACAATAGTATTTTTCCAATTCCCTCCTCTCATCCTTTGTTCTACTGTTGTCATACATTTACTTCTTCACATTGTAAACTCAATACATTATTATTATTTTTGTTTTAAACAACTATCTTTTTAAAAAAATTAGAAACTGATTTTTACAAGTATTTTATATTACCCACACGTTAACCATTTCTCCAGTACTTTTCATTCATTTAGGTAGCCAGGTTTCCATTTGGTATCATTTACCTTCTGCCTAAAGAACTTCTTTTAACATTTCTTATAACACAAGTCAGCTTGTGATAAATTCTCTCAGCTTTTATTGGTCTGAAAAAAAAGCTTCATTTTGCAGGACATTTTCACTGGATACATAACTGTAGGTTAACAAGTTCTAGTCTTTCAGCATTTTAAAGGAGTCATTATCTTTGACTTGCATAGTTTCAATCGAGATGTCTGTAGTCACTATCTCTGTTCTTCTGTATGTAACACATCTTTTTCTCTGGATGCTTTTAAGATTTTCTTTCTCAAATTGGCTTTCAGCAATTTTCATTATGATGTGCCTTAGTGTCTATTTGCTCTCTGCTTTATCCTCCTTGGGGTTTAAGATTCTCTGATCTATGGGTTTACACTTTTCAGCAAACTTGAAAAATTTTATGGCCATTTCAAGTTTTTTTCTGTTCTCTTCTCCTCTCATTCTGGGACTCAAATCACATGTATGTTAGACAACTTGATATTGTCCCACAGGTAACCAAATCGTCTTTCTGTTTTTTCCAGTTTTTCTCTTGGTGCTTCATAACGTAGTTTCTACTGCTCTCTTCAAATTCACTGGTCTTTTCTTCTGTAGTACCTAATCTATTTTTAATCCTATCCAGTAAATTTTTCTTTCAGATAGTATATATTTTATATCTGGAAGTTTCTTTTGGTTCTTTTATGTCCTTTATGCCTCTCCTCTGAGGTTCACGTTTTAACTTCTTGAGTATATTTATAATAGCTGTTTTGAAGCCTTCTCTGCTAATTTCATCATCTCTATCATTTGTGTTTCTGTTTTCACTGACAGTTTTTTCTCCAAGTTACAGATTATATTATTCCTACTTCTTTGCATTTAACATGGTTAGGTGTTGGATATGTAAATTTTACATTGTTGGGTGCTGCCATTTGTTCTCTTATTTTAATAATGTTTACTATGACAGACAGTTAAGTTACTTATGGAGCAACTTTCAAGGCTTGTTTTTAAACCTTCTTAGGGCAAGTTTGGACTACCCTATATTCTAGCACTAGTTTAGCCCTACCATAAAGCATGACACTTCTGGAGTCTCTAATAAATGCCTGGACATCTAACAAGGACTCTCCACTCTAACTGGTTGGAACTCTACTATCTCCCAGCCCTGAGTGAACTCTGTAAATTACTGAGTTTACACCTTTCTGATCATTCTTTGACTGGCTTCATGGAGTTTCATACCACACCCGAGCAGCTCATTCAGCTAAAGACCCAGGGACCCCAAGGCAAAGTTCTTATATTCTCCTTCTGGGCAGCTTCTTCCTCTCAGATTAGCCTCTCCCAATTTCAAACTTTGTTTCATCAACTCAATGAGACTATTTTGCTCTGCTTAGGTTCCTCCTTCCCACACTGTGGTCCAAAAAGTGGCTCCAAGCAATAAGCCAGGGCAATCACAGAGATGACCTGCTCTTCTCTCAGGAAGCACAGTCCTGCACTGCCTGTTGTCCAACTGTCTTAGTCCATTCAGGTTGCTGTAACAAAATACCACAGACTGGGTGGCTTATAATAACAGCAGAAACTTACTGCTCACAGTTCTGGAGGATGGAAGTCCAAGATCAGGGTGCCAGCATGACTTGGTGAGAACCCTCTTCTGGGTCACAGATTTGTTGTTGTATCCTCACATGGCAGAAGGGGCAAGGGATCTCTCTGAAACCTTTTATAAGAGCACAAATCCCATTCATAAAGGTTCCTCCCTCGTGACCTAATCACCTCCCAAAGGCCCTACTGCCTAATACCATCATCTTTGGGAGTCAGGGTTCAACATATGAATTTTGGAGGGACACAAACTTGCAGACATAGCACCACTGTTTCAAAATGTGGTTTCTTATTTTTTGCTCATTTTCGTAATTGTTTATGGTGGGAGTATAAGTCTGGTCTTAGTTATTCCATCACAATCTGAAGTGGAAGAACTCCCAATCTTATTTGTGTAGAAGCAAATGCCCTCTAAAACTTGTATTCACTGTGCTATTAAAAATATATTTAGGGCCAGCCTGGTGGCGTAGCAGTTAAATTTGCGCAGTCTGCTTTGGCGGCCCAGGATTTGCCAGTTCGGATCCTGGGCATGGACCTACTCACTACTCATCAAGCCATGCTGAGGCAGCGTCCCACATAGAAGAACTAGAAGGACCTACAATTAGGATATACAACTATGTACTGGGGCTTTGATGATAAAAATAAAAAATAAAAAAATATATATTTAAATTCTCTTTTTATTTTTTCTGCATTAATTCCCCATTTCTATGAGACCTACCTGCTACACGTTTCCTTTTCAAAAACTGCTCTGGCTATTCCTGAATATTTATGCTTCCATACAATCTTTAGGTTCATATAATCAATTTCCCCCAAACTTGCCCTAACATTTGATAGAGATGGAATTAAATATATAGATTAATTGGGGAAAACTGACATCCTCCACAATACTGACCCTTCTCATCTCTCCAATCCAATTACAAAGTATATCTCTTTGTTTACTACAGTCTTCTTTCATGTACATCAGTGTCATTAATTAATTTTCTTCAAATAAATCCCAGATATCTTCTATATTTATTCCCCCACATTTTATATTTTTTTGTTAATTTTCTGAAAGGGATCTTATTTTCCATGGTCTCCTCTAACTAATTACAATCCTTACAAAAGCTAGCTAGTTAGTTTTTATGTTAATTTTGTACCCACCAAACTACCAAGCACTCTTACTAGTTCTAATGAGTTTTCAGTGGATTCCCTCTGGTTTTCCCAGGTGAAGAACCATATTATCTGCAAATAATAATTAGGTCTCCTTTATAATATTTATATATGTTTTTGTTATCTTGCCTGAATGCAGGAAAATATTAAATAATAGTAATGGTAGTGTCCACACTTGTCCTCTTTCCAATTTTAAAGGAAATACTCTAGAGTACTTCACCATTGTACAGAATTCTGGCTGTTGATTTGTAACAGTTGTTTTTATAATGTTAAGGAAATATACATTCACATTTATATTATTAAGAGTTTTTATCAGGAATGGATACTGAATTTCACAAAATCCCATTTTTATCAAGTATTTTATCCCTACTAACATATCATATGTCATATATCATATTAGTAGGGATATATATTATGTTAATGGTTTTCTTAAAATTAAATTATCCTTGTGTATCTAAATCCTATTTGGTAATTGGATTTTTTAAATATATGATCGCATTTTATATATTTATTACTATTTCTTTATGATTTTTGCATCTATACTCATTAGTAAGATTGTAGTTTACTTTTTTGGGGATCTTTGTCAGAAATACAATTATCCTAACTTTATGAAATGTATAACTTTATGAATAAGGTTATAAAAAATAAAGCCTGAAAATCATTAATAACTCTCCAAATGTCCACTACTTCTTAAACATTTATTTTTTCTTCAGATTCTGGAACATTGATTATAAAATCTTGACAAGTCAGTTTCTCACCCTACCCTACGTTTTAGAGTATAGATATTATTGTGTGTGTATATATATATATGAAACACATTCCTGAAAAGTTGCTTATAAGACAAATACCACTTCAAATACCACTTTCCCCAAAACTCCCTTGGTAAAATTAGAAGATATTTCAGATACTAGGGACTTTTCTTTCTTTCTGGAATTCTCCTCCCCCAGATGTTTCTATGGTCCTATCCATCACTTCATGTAGGTATAAACTAAAATGCCACCTCTTCAGAGAAGCCTTCCCTGACCACCCTAATTAAAATACCCCTACCACCTCTCCATCCATCTCTAGCTCTGATTTATTCTTCATAGCCATTCTGAAATACTTTATCCTCAGTGCCCAGAAAAGTATGTGACACTCGCTAAGTGGTTAATTAATATTTGTTGGAGGAACAAACAAATGAAAGTAAATGGGTACCTACACAGTATAATCTTGAGAAAAAGTTCCCCAAGAATAGTCTCCCCAACTCTGGTGCCACACTACCTAAAATGCCTGTGACCACACTATAAGGCTACCACATAAATCATTAGTCAATAATGCCTTGGTACAATGATTTCATTTATCAGATTCTTTCTTTCATAATAATCAGTGCTCCAGGCCATGAACACCTGGGGTTCCATGTAAAGGAAGAAAAATATAAGGAGTCTTCCAGAAACAAACTGTTGTACTCTTTTTCCCATATTAACTGTACCCAATCAGCCAAGGTAAATATATTCTGCCTATAGTTCTTGGCAGCTCCCCTCATAGGGTTAAATACCAACAGAGTAAAACTATAGAACAAAGAGAAAGCACTTGAAGTAGAAGCAATAATTGCTCTGGGTGATGCAGGAGGGGATGGAAGTCCCCCGAGCCCCTGATCTCTTTGGTGAATCATACCTGGAAGTGATCATTCACAAAGTGAATCTTCAAGGAAGAAGTAGAAATTGCTTATGAGAATAAAGTATGTTCTGTAGCTGTGGCTTCTCTTAACGGACTTTGAACCAGTTTTAGATTCGAGTATGAGAGAACTTTTGAGTTACCAAGTCCACTGAGAACAAAGGAAAAGCAGTACCTTCACTTTATCCCCTTCCCACTCGATTTGCCGATAGCTATCTTGGAAGACTGAGCAGACACCAAGCAAGAAGGAAAAAGAATACAGACTCCAGAACACACAGCCTGATGTCTTAACTCGTTTCTCAGTCATGCTGGTACTAACTACCAGTAACAGCAGTATCTTTCACAGAATATAGAGAAAACAGATTTTTTAATACAGTAAACTCTCCATTTTCCCACCTTATCTCTGACCAAGTTATTTATCCCTATTGTGACAGCATTATTATATTTTAATTTAGATCCTTTCAATATTCAGTCTTTACTGAACGATGGGAACAGAAGCCAGGCCCTGGAAGTATATATATTTCTGGTACTGTTATTTTTCTATATTTCCATCTCTTCTTCTTTAAAATTATCAATAATAAGAAAATAAAATATGCTAATGATGCAAAATTCTACATGTATAAAATTTCAAAATCTGAATTTCTTTTACGATTTACAAATTATCTAAATTCTTAAGTGTATATATTGGATTAAAATATGATGGATCCCCACATCGAATCAGATATAACAGAATAACCAAAAAACAAAGATGACAACTAAAAGACATACCAAATTCTAATTTATGATGAATCTAATTTAGGTATTTAGGTACAGTACATACCTACATACTCTATAATCCAAAACAATGGATTTTATCAGGAATTTAAATCTCTCTCTCAACTAATACTACAGTTTCTTTCTTTCAATTTTTTCCTCCCAGTTCATTCTAATATACGCATGTTCTAACAACTCAGGAGAGCCCAGAAGTACTTTCCTCAACCTTCTATTACCTAAATTACATGAGGACACACGACATGTACATGTACAATTTCATGCATTGTACATTTCTACTCTCAAATACCTGTTTCCCATTAATTTCAAAATTAGTTCATGCATTGGTTTCTATGAACAAAACAGAAATGTAATACATTGGATGCCTAACCTCTTGATTTTCTACTCCATTGCTGGAAAGCTCCAAAATAGAACCTCCACTGTCAACCACTGCTGATGCCATTGTTTATTCCCTGAGGAAGCTTCAAATGCTATTAATCAATGTAATTAAAAGTTCATGGATGATTGCCAGTGTTACAGGTTTGCATTATCATGTTTTAAAAGTCAATACAGATGGAGTGGAGTAGATATCCAAAAATCCGGTCTTCTAAAGATGATTAACCAGAGAGCCTAAAAAGAGGAAGAATTTGAAAAGTTATTAAAAATATACAGGAAGGATATAAAGCACAACCTATTCTGCAATCTAACTTTTAACATTTTTGTAAACTAAGAAAAAGGAGATAGGCTTATACAGCTTTGTCAAAAGAGGGCAGAATTCTACTTCTTAGAGTTGTCAAGTTCATGAATATACTGAAATAAGGTCTTACACCAAGCTACTGCACATAGGTAAAGTTATGATATTTACATTCTAAGAGATAAAATGTTATAACATTCTCCCTTTATGAAGATGTACTTTTATTCCTGCAATATTTCGGTAGAAATTTTTTAAATCTTTTATGCCTTGAAAACATAAAATGTGCCGGACTGAGACAACTTCAAAAATTATTTGCCTATTTAACAAATTAAATGATTTATTGGTCTGTAAATATTTCACTCTTCTTCTTTGGCTCATTTAGTTTGTTTATTTGAATAATATAATTAGAATTGTTTTTTGCTTATGGTAGCAATCTCATTTTGTGTTCACATTTTGAATGCTTTACAAGGAGTGTAACATTAATTTGAGTTGCTTATATTTTCAAATAGAGTAGTTTGAAAACAAAGTAGTGAAATTACTTGGAATACCTTTAATATTACTTGATCATTCTTTCCTCAATAATTTTTTTGCTATTGGTTCAAAACGCAATATAGCAAATGGTTTCAAGTAAACATAATTCAAGCTTATTTTCCCCTAGTAGAGATGAATGTCCGTATGTGCATCATCTAGATTTATGCATTAGTCTATTCCTAAAAAGTTACAGTTTATTTGATTTTGTGTATTTAAATTTTTCAGAGAAATTACAGATTTATTTCTAACAAAATTTTTTCATGTAAAAATTAAAGAATGCAGAAAAATTAAGCATATTTAACGAGAAAGAACATAAATTTTTAATAAATCATTCCATTAATATTATGTCCTATTTGACTACTAGTACCATACAGATATGGGATAAAAATAAAGAATTTCCATAACCTTCTACAATATAAAGAAATGCCTGAAAATAAGGAGAAACTTCAGCTCACTACCTAAGACTCATTAAGTATCATTAGTCTTCTTTTTGATCTTATTAACAGAAAATGGGATAGGAAGTGTTTGTATCTTAAGAATAAAAATTGAGCCCGCCCGGTGGCGCAAGCAGTTAAGTGCGCACGCTTCACTGCGGCGGATGGCGGTTCACCGGTTCAGATCCCCGGCGTGCACCGACACACCGCTTGTCAGGCCATGCTGTGGCGGTGTCCCATATAAAGTGGAGGAAGATGGGCATAGATGTTAGCCCAGAGCCAGTCTTCCTCAGCATAAAGAGGAGGATTGGCAGATGTTAGCTCAGGGCCGATCTTCCTCACACACAAAAAAAAGTCCCATCCCACAGTCCCATCATACTACAGCTCACTATTATCTATAAGGTAACGACTATTTTCAATTTCTGTTTTCTGAACATATTGATAATAATAGCAGAAATAAATTTTACTTACAATTTGAATGTTAAGTAGTCTAAGCATCCTTCACTATTTTCACAACTTGGCAAGAGCTAAAATATAAACCAGCAGTTCTTTGGAACTACTAGTGGGGGGAAAAAGACAGTATTAATATAATTCTATTAAAAAATATTTTGCCCAAAATAGGTATGATTCACACAGTACGTACTTATTAAAATACGCCATCTCCAAAGCCTGATGACACACACTATATGATGAACATGATAAAGAAATTATTTCTAGGCTATGGAGGAATCAAAAGTTTTTATCAAACTTAAAATTTTAAGTCACTACTAAATAACAATTATTGCATAGGGTAGGGACAGATCCAACATACATAGCCTATGCCCCATATTATGAGCTGTATTTCAGTCAACCAATAGGATTTTAACAAGTGGCTGCAGGTATAACCCCAGATCCCCAAAAGTATAAAATCAAGGTTTAAAAGACTAACCCAAAAAACTACTATAAAACAATGTTAACTATATATTATTGCTTATAAGTCACTTTCCTGCTCTCACCCTCCAAACTTAGCATCCATACACATCCACACATCCCAAGCCTCCTCAAACAGCCCTCCTCCTTTCAAAGGCTAATCTATTGACCTATGCACTGGAGCTTAGGCCTTGCTCCATCAATTATTCCCTCTTTCTCCTTAAGCTTCTCTTACTTAACATTGGGTCCTTTCCCTCAACATCTAAAGATTTACAAGGCTCTCTCATCTTAAACATGGAAAAGTCCTCCTCCATGACCCTACATACCCCTCCAGCTACTGCTCTTGTTCCTTCCTTTCTCAGATAAGGTTCTAGAAAAATAATCTATACTCTGTCTCCACTTCCTAATTTCTCAGGTATTCCTCCTTCTATGGAAGTTTGGCATCCCTCACCATCAAGTGAAATTTTTACTAAATTCTGGTTGTCAAATCCAATGGATACATTTCTGTCTTCATAGGACTTAATGTCTCTGAAGTATCTGACACTGTTGATCATTCCCTGCTTGAAACTCTCTTGAATATATTTTCTCCCTCTCTAGCTACTCCTTTTCAATTCCCTCTTGCAGGCCCACTCCTATTTTCAAAGGGCTCGGGGCAAGAGTACAAATGGAAGCCCGTATACCCTGTCTAATGTCTAAACATTTTAAAGTTATAAATGAAGCTAAAAAGCTGTTAAACTATTATTCTATCCTCCTATCTTGACACATACACTTTTATAACTACCTTAAAGGCTAAGTTCCGATTTGGAATTCTCAGACTCCCTCGAGTTCTGTGGGGGCACGGGAGGACCATACATCCTTCTCCTGGCCTGCAGCCTGTCCCTTTTTCTCTTCCCACTTTTGGCTCCATGCCATACTACAAAGAGCCTCATACACATACGTGTGGACATCCGAGACCACATGTCCAAGCTCTGGCCACATGCCTGCGAACAGCAGCATCCTTTAGGCCATCCTTTAGGCCTAGCCCATACATGTAGTACAGTCAAGAGAGGAGACAATCAGGAAAGAAGCCTGTGAGGGGCAACATGGGCAGAGAATTCTGGGGTTCAAATACTTAGAGCTTGATCTAGAAATATGTACCAGATGGACTAATTCCCTTGGCTTCCCAAAATCCTCAAGCTATCAGGAGGAGGTAGGTGGAGGAAGGCCAGATGAGGACCTCCAAAGTACAAGGCCCAGAGCAGGGTTCCCACTCGGCTAAGTCTAAGGACAGTGCTACTCTGTGGTCAACCATTACATGTAGGTGTTTCCAGGATCCCATCCCTACTCTTCTTCTGACTCTTTACACTCTCTCTAAGCTATCTCATGTACTGCCATGGCTTCACTCAAATCTCTGTTCCAGTCTAAATCATTTTATAGTTTCCAGTTTGTCTACTAGGCACTTCCTTGCCTCTACTTCCTTGTGAAATTAAATAGGGTATAAATAAATAGTATCTATTCCAAGGTATCCCAGGCACTCCAATAATTAATTCAGTCATATAATAAATATTAACTGAGCACCTATTATATGCTAGCACAGTTTCAGTGCTAGAGGTACAGCAGTGAATAAAGCAAAAGTCCTTGTCCTTATAGATCTTAAATTTCAGTGGGGCGAGATGAAAATAGGCAAAATATGTATAGTATAAATCTAGATGGCGATAATGGCTAAGGAGACAAATGAATCAAAGGGAGAGACTAATGTATTTGTCAGGGAAGAGGATTGCAATTTCAAGCCAGATGGTCAAAGAAGGACTCAGTGAAAAAGTGACATAGGAGTAAAGACCTGAAAGTAGGAGTGAGCTGTGGCAATGACTAGGGGAAGAGGCTTCTAGTCAAAGAAAAGAGAATATTCAAGATCTTCAAGTGGGAGTACACCTCACTAGTTCAAAGATCAGCAAAGACTGCCAATGTGGCTGGAGTTAAGCGAGCAACAGGAAGAAAGAATAGAAGATGATGACAAAGAGGTAAAGGGAGGGGGCCATGTAGGCCCTCTGTGAGGACTCTCACTTTTACTCCAGGGAGAAAGAGAGTTGTATGCAGAAAGATGACTTGATTAATATAAGACTCATTCAGATGCTGTCTTGAGAACAGATACGGGGACAAGCGCCGAAGCAGGGAGATCAATTAAGAAGCTACTATAATGATTAGGTGAGAAATGATAGTGGCTAGGACCATAGTGGTAGGTTCTGGAGAAGGTGCAAAGTGGTCAACTTTTGGATATATTTTGAACATAAAATGGACAAGATTTGCTAGCAAATTGGATTTGGGGTGAGAAATAAAGAGAAGAGTCAAAAATGAATCTAAAGATATCACTCAGAGCACCTGGAATTGCCATTAAATGTGATGGTGTAAAGTGTGGGAGGAGAAGTCCAATATGTTTCAAACTAAACTCATTTTTTTCTCCGCTACCACTCTAAAAGCATTACCTCTCCTATTGTGCTTAGCTCAGTAAGCTACCCCAACATCCACACAAGTTGCCTAAAAAACAGAGATCCTGAAGTCATCTGCAACTCCTCTCCAACACCACCATCATACTCTCACTCTTGATCCCTTCTCTCTAATCTCATATCCTCTGCCCTAGTTGAGTTTCCTTATTATCATTTTTCTATATTGTAATAGCCTCAGACTTTGCCTCCTTGCTGCTAATTTTCCCTCCCTTCCAGTCCATCTACTGCAATATCAGGGTGATTCAAGATGGAATAATGTTAGGCCTCTCTCAAAATTCTTCAATAGGTCCTCATCACTTGCAGGATGAAATCTCAACCTCTTTGCGAGCATCCTGATTTAGAAGGAATAAGCAAAGGGTCTAGGTCTATTTCTCAGAAGTTATGAAATGTTCATTCTGATGTGCTCAGGTATGGGAATCACGAATCTAATCCATGCTCACTTGTCCAGCCTCATCTTCCTTTACTCCCTCCATACAACTTTATACCACAGTTGTTTGTAGTTCTCTATATTCTTCTCTCTCATCTTGAACATCCTTCCCCTGCTTGCCCATTTGGCCAATTCCTAGCTGTCTTACATGTCTCAGCTCTTGTGCAACCTCATCCCCTCAGGGCTCAACATCATTTTCTGTAATTCTCTTCCCCCAATCCACATTACATACCTCCCTCACAAAAACATCAGGGAAATAACAGCTTCCAGCAGATCATTCACTTGCCACCTCCTATCAACCATATCAAGCCCAACACCTATGCCTTTCTTTCAGTGCTCTCTAAAATCCTGCTCGTTTTTACCTGTTAATCTCACTTCCTACTACTTTCCCAAAGGACCAAGTTTTAAAAATCTGTGTATCCAGGTTTTAAAAATCTGTGATTTATACCACCTAAACCAGTGTCTTTCATATAGTAGATACAGGGTATAGATGTGATGACTACAAGAATAAACAAACATGTTTCAACCAGACAAGTATCTTCACTGCTAACTACACATACTAAGCTAATTCCTATCCCTATCCCTTTGCTGGTGTTCTTCTCTCACCAGAGGTGCCCTCTTCCTTAGTTATTCAAATTCCACCTGTCCCTCAAAGACAGCTTTTTCCCTATAATGACATCACGTCTTTCCTATCTCTTACTATACCAGTTCTTTGAATAATATTTACTGAGCACTTATATACCAAACACAGCACTATGCCAGGAACCCAAAAATGAAGCCAGGACAGCCTTCAGACCACTAAGGGTCTAGTAAGGAGAAACACATAGAAGCAATTACAATAATGTAACTGCCATAAAGGAAACTACAAAGTACAGTGAGAACTTAAAAAAAGGAACACCCACCCTGGCCTCAGAGTTTCCAGAGAGACTTCAGAAAGGAGCCACCATTTAGTCTGGGACTAGAAGAAGAGGGGGAAATTGGCACAGCAAGAAGAGAAACAACTTTGAACAGTGAATACTGAGAACTGAAAAAAAATCTATGCAAAATGATAGCAAACCTAAGTATCACTCAGAAGTAAATTCTGCTATATTTACTATAATTTAGTTGCCTAGAGTACAGATCACACTCTCATCAAAAAAGTTTATGTGCATGACTTTATTTATATAAAGTACAAAGACAAGGAAAACTCAATCTATGATATTAGAAATAGGATATTATATCACAAAGGGCTAATATCACTAAAATAGAAAGAACACTTAAAATAGAGGAATAAAAGACCAAAAAATGCAAGAGAAAAATAGGGAACACACAATTCACAGAAACAGATATAAAAATGGCCCTTAAACATATGAAAAGATGTTCAAATTCACTCAAAGAGATATATAAATTTTTAAAAAATGAGATACCACTTCTCTCACCTATCAGACTGGAGAAAATTAAAATGTAAGACACCAGGGGCCGGCCTGGTGGCATAGTAGTTAAGTTCACGTGCTCTGCTTTGGCAGCGTGGGGTTCGCAGGTTCGGATCTCGGGCGTGGACCTACCCACCGCTTATCAAGCCATGCTGCAGCAGGCATCCCACATATAAAATGGAGGAAAATGGGCACAGATGTTAGCTGAGGGCCAGTCTTCCTCAGCAAAAAGAGAAGGATTGGCAACAGATGTTAGCTCAGAGCTAATCTTCCTCACCAAAAAAAATTTTTAAAGAAATAATAAAAAAATAAAAATAAAATAAAATGTATGACATCATATTCTGTGGTAAAACTGTGCACTTATACACTGCTGGTGGGAATGTAAATTTATACAACACTTTGAGAGGGGAATTTAGTGGCAATATCTAACAAAACCACATACGCACTTACCTTTTTTTAAACAGCTTTATTGAGATATAATTCACATATCATACAGTTCACCCACTTAAAGTATATAATTCAATGGTTTGTAGTAGAGTCACAAAGTTATGCAATCATCACCACAATCTAATTCTAGAATATTTTCAGCACTCCCCAAAAAAATCCGATGTCCATTAGCAGTCACCTCTCATCCTTCCCCAACCCCTAGTCCCTGGAACGACTAATCTACTTTCTATCTCTAGAGATATGCTTGTTCTGGCCATTTCGTATAAATAGAATTATACAATTCGCAGACTTTTGTGACAGGCTTCTTTCACTTAGTATAATGTTTTCAATATTCATTTATGTGTAATACGCATTAGTGTTTCATTTCTTTTTATTGCTGAATAATATTCCATTGCATAGACATATCACATTTGATTTATCCATTCATCAGTTGATGCAAATTTTGGTTGTTTCCACTTTTTGACTATTGTGAATAATGCTGCTATGAAAATTCACACACAAGTTCTTGTGTGGGCATACGTTTTCATTTCTCTTGGGTATATATCTAGGAGTGGAATTGCTGAAACATATAGTAACTCTATGTTTAACATTTTGAAAAAACGCCAAACTATTTTCCAAAGTAGCTACATCATTTTACATTCCCCTCAGCAATGTATAAAGGTTCTAATTTCTCCACATCCCCACCAACACGTTGTAGGTAATCTGTTATACAGCAATAGATAATTAATACATCATCATGGCAGATGCAATAAAAATCACTTAATAAGATTTCATAATTAAGAAAAAATGCAGCCAAGACTCAATGGCAAAATATTTAAAACTTTCCCCCTGATACTGGGAACAGAACAAATATACATACCATTACCACTTCAATTCAACACCACACTGGCAATCCTAATCAGTAGAGTTTGATAAGAAAAAATCAAGACATAAGAAATGGAGAAGAAGAAATAAAGCAATAATTGTTTGTAGGTGCTAAGACTATCCACACAGAAAATCCAAAAGAATCTTCAGATATTAGAATAAGAGAGTTCGCAAGGTATGTGGATATAGATCAATATATAAAAATCAACTTTTCCTATATACCAGTGACTAACAGAAAATGTAATTTTTAAAAAGGATATCACTTACAATAACCACAAAAACTATAAGATATCTAAGACCCAATCTGACAAAAGATGTACAAAGACCTCTGTGGAGAAAATCATAAAATTTACTGAAAGGAATTAAAGAAGTCTTATATATATGGAGATATCATGTTCATGGATAGGAAAGCTCAATATCTTAAAGATGTCAGTTCTCACCAAATTCATCTAATAAATTCAATATATTTCCAGTCAAAAATTCCAAGAGGGTTTTACAAAAAATTTGACTTAGTAAAAAAAAAAAAAAAGTATGTAGAAGAGCAAAGGGCAAAAGTTAGCCAAGACCCTCCTGAAGAATTGCTCTATCTAGTCTATAGTAATTCAGCATAAATAATGGTGTAGATATTGTCAAACACACCAATGGAACCAAATACACCAATGGAACAGAACATAGAAGCCAGAAAAAGACCCATGCATACTGGAAATACAGTCATGTGCCACATAGTGACATTTCAGTCGACGACGGACCACATACTTGGGACACTGGTCCCATGAGATAGTACCATATGGCTTAGGTGTGTAGTAGGCTATACCATTTAGGTTTGTGTAAGTACACTCTATGATGTTTGCACAACAAAACTGCCTAACAACACATTTCTCAGAATGTATCCCTGTCATTAAGCCACGCATGACTGTGTAGGGCAGATGCAACATTAAATCAGTGGAAAAAAAAAAAAAAGACTATTTAATAAATGATGCTGGGACAAGTGATTATCCATACAAGATAAAAAATTAAATCACTACCTCTCACCATTCACAATAAATTACAGGTGTACTTTGTTGTTGTTACTCCTGTTGAGTCAATTCCAACTCCTAGTGTCCCTGTGTACAACAGAGCGGAACCCCACCCAGTCTTTTTGCACCATCTTCTTAACCTACCAGTGCCATATCAGACAATGCTCCACTGCTATTCATAGGGTTTTCATGGCCAATTTTTTCAGAAGTGAGTGGCCAGGTCCTTCTTTCTAGTCTGTCTTAGTCTAGAAGCTCTGCTGAAACCTGTCCACCATGGGTGACTCTGCTGGTATTTGAAATACCAGTGGCATAGCTTTGAGCATCACAGCAACACATCTGTGAAAGCACAAA